AAGTAGGGTACAAGGAACATGAGGCTGTGCCATCATTTGCTCTGTTATTTCCAGCGTCTGCCCTAAATGTAAGGAGCCCTGGTAGTGCAGTGGTTAAATGCTTGGCTGCTATTTGAAAGGTTCATAGTTTGAATCCACCAGCCCTTCCATGGGAGAAAGATGTGGCAGTCTGCTTCTGTAAAGATTTACAGCCTTGCAAACCCTATGGGGCAGGTCTACTCTGTCCCGTAGGGTCGCTATGAGTCAGAATCAACTCAACGACAATGGGGTTGGTCCTAAACAAAATTTTTAGATTCTTTATTTTTTATTTAAAAATCTTTAAAGGGATGTCATCAACATATATAACTCTATCATGTTGATAATTCAATAGTTTTTATTATCTAGGTAAGAAATGGAAAGAAAGAAAACCAAATCCTTCCATTATCTTGTACTCAGTCAAGGACATAACCAAAATATCCTAATTTTAAAGTATCTTAATCTTTCCTGCTCAATTGTTTTCTAGTTTGAAGTCATTATTATGAAAGAAAGAATTCAGTATTGTGTGACCTTCAGTAAGTTACTTAACCTTTCTTCATCTCAGATTCCTCATCTGAATCTTCTTTATGAGCTAGACAAAAACTTAAAATACCTAAATTTTTATTGTATCCCTTGAGTTACATATTAACTTTAGACTTTAATTGTCCTTAAGAAAAAATCTTCTTAAAAATACCCACAAATCTGAAAATATTATTACTTATGCATAAATGCTTATTTGGATTGACCCCTGGTTTTCAAATTTATTTGTTCACCATTTTTATTAGAACTCTGACTTTTTCTTCAATAACATTTTTATTCTTTCTAGAATACAACCATCATAAATTCCTTTAGTGAAGATTTAGTAGGTAGTAAAGTTCTGACTTATCTGAAAATGTCTTTAGTTTACTCCTATTCTTATGAGATAGATATGCCAGATAAACAATTTCGTGTTGACTATTATACTTGTAACACCCTCAGAACTTTAAAGAAAACATTTTACTGTATTCTGGCTTCCTTTATTTCTGAGAATTCTGTTCTCAGACTGACTATCTTTTCTAAAAAGGTCATTTATCTTTTCTCTGGCTGACATTAAGAATTTCTTTGTCTTTGGTGTTGTGCAGCTTCACTATTTGGTGTCTAGGTATGGATTTCTTAGCATTTACCCTGCTTCTCCTCAAAGATTTTATGTCCTCCAGTCTCTACTAATACTCTGATTATGTACATTAGACTTTCTAATTCCTTCTTCCATACCTTTTAAAATAGCTTTTATTTTCCAATTTCCTATCTATGTTGCATTCTTGGTAATTTCTTTACATTCTCCTCCTCCCAGTTTACTAATCCTCCCTTCAGTTGTATATTATGCCATTTAGCCTATTACAGTTCCTTGATTACATTTCCAAAAGTTATATTTAGCTGTTCTGCAATTATGCCTTCTCTCATTGCTGTTAATTTTTGTGATCTCATATTTTTCTTTAAATATTTAATAATGAAATCATAATTTAAATAGTTTAGAGTTTAAATACCTCAATCATTTTAGAGATCTGAAAGGACTTTTTTGTTTGTTGACTCTAACTCATACTTCCTTGTGTGTTTACTGGTCTTGGTTGTAAGCTCCAATTTGTTTATCTTGATCTATGGAAATCTTGTGGCTCCTAACAGGTGATGCACTTCACACTTTCCACCTGCACGTTTTTCTGCAGGGAGTCAACGGGTCCTATTGATCTGGGACAACTTTAGTGCCCTTCAAGAGTCATAGGTTTAACATGGAATGCTTAAGTTCAGTTCCTCCACCTTGCTGGAGTCACAGATTAGTCTACTTACACGAATAGTGTCACTCGGGTTGGTGTCACCCAGTGTGGTAACTCATGATGTCACTTCCCCCATGGAACGCCTCCCGTACCAGACCATACAGAACCCTTAATAATGATTTTTCTACTAACATCACTCGTAAATCGTAATTCCCGTCTCTCCTTCTTTTCCTTTAATCCAATTCATTCTCAAAAAACTTATTGATACAGGTTCACAAATACTAACTACCACAATATTGTATCTAAAACACCT